GGCATGGGGTCTCTGCACAAGCCCCCGTAGCCCCGAGGCCACTGCAGGAGCAGTGAGTCCTGGGGTTTTTCTCATTTTTCATTTTTTTCTTAAAGTGCTGGAGCTGGGGCAGGCGGGGCAGCCATGGGGCGGCAGGGGGGAGAGTGGAGGGAGAGTGGCAGAGCCCCCCATGCAACATGGGGTATTGGGGGGCAGCAGGGATCTCTCCCTGCCTGGCAGCACCTGGTGAGTCGAGGCTTTTTTTTAAAGTACCGGGAGCTGGGGCAGGTGGGGCAGCCATGGGGGCACTGGGGGAGCAGGCAGGGGATGGGGGCTGGGATGGGCCCCCCCATAGTCCCCTCCCTAGTCCTGCCTACCCTGTCCCCTCCTTACTGGCTCCGAGTCCGGCTGCAGCTCCCTGGTGCAGCCACCGGGGACTGTCCAAATTATCAAAGCTCTCCAAATCTTTTCCAAAGATTCAAAGAGCTTCAAATCAATTAGGACCTTTTAACTGGTCCCCTGATTCAATTCGGATTCAGAGATTCGGCCACCAAATCAAGCCGAATCTCCTCCAAATCAAATCACCACCTGAAGCTTCGCACAGCCCTACTAGTGAGTAAATAGTGATATCCCCACATTAAAAAAAATAATGCATCAGACGAGACCTGACTTCTGACATGCTTGACTGTTTTTGTCCTTTATGGACCTTACTGTTGTTAGCTATGCGTACTTTAACCTATTACCAACAGTAGGCAGGAGCATTTTCCTGCTCCATCTTCCCATCCTTAACTTCCTCCTCAAAAAAGTCTAAAATATTTAGATTCTTCACTGTTGTTTGTTGATGGTGATGTAAATATGGAAGAAAGTGAAGAGCTTAAAAGTCAAATGCATAACTAATCTTGTAAGTGTAAACCTTTTATTTTTTATTCATTTTACTTACAAGGATGTGGAACTAACAGCCAGCATCTTAAATGAATTTTACTTTTCCTGCTGTAGCTGGTTGGAGTTTTGTTGCTTTTCTCACTTGAATGAGAGATCAATATCCTCTGCAAGTTACCAGCCTCTGCAAATCAGCTTCCAAGAGAAATTAAAGCAAACCCCACTAAGCAAGACTGAGCTATTGTAGGTCCAGTAAAAAAATATCACCCAGAACAATCCTGGCCACTCACATATTTCCTGAACCACCTCTCCAGCACTACTAAAATACGTTTTCAGAAGCTTAAGTTTAGAAAAACCATGTTCTCTGCTTGTGACAGATGCCAGCAAGTTTATTAGAACCCAGAGTGCAATGGATATGTTTGGTAAAAAGGACAAAAGCTTATTTTTGCACAGAAACTCCAGTGTGGCTGTTGGGCATGTTCCAGGGTTCAGCCTGCCAGGAACTTGAAGCTTATTGCAAAGATCCAGGGCATTTAAAGTCTTCATCATGCTGTCCATTTCTTAAGACAGTGCATTATTTGTGTAATTTTTTGTGGGGCATTTTTAACTTTTCAGACAACTCCTGTAGAAAAATGGACAGCTATGGTGCTCTGTAAATCATAACAATCTTTCTTTGGCTGGCTATGACAGTATTAAAAATAACAGAAAAAATGACTTTATCATTCTTTTTAGGTTTAGTTAATTCTCTGACCTCTTAAGCAAACCTTATCTTTTTATTTCAGCCTCTTAAGTTGAGTTTTCCTGTGGAAAGGTAGCTTTGATTTTCCAGCTCATCAATTTCTCTTTCCAGTCTCACTTCACTTAAGGATTTTGGAAGCAGATTATCATATGCTAGTGCATTACATCCAAACACTGCAGTGAGATTACAGGAAATATAAACATTCAAATACCAGTGAAAAATACTTCACTTTCAGTGCAGCAACTTCCAGCATCATTGAATAGGAGACTCAAAGAATGTGATTTACATGGGGCAGAAGTGCTCTTTTGTTCAGATCTTGAATGCTCTTCTGAACAATTCTTGTTTGCTTTTCCTATTTGCCATGTTGTCTAGCTTTGATCTTTCAGATCATAGAGTGAGATTTGTATTTCTGTTTGCTCTTCAAGGAGAACTTCTGGGATTTCAGTGCCTATAGTATGTCGTGTTCAAAGATCCAACAAAACGTTCTTTGATTATAACACTGCCTTCTCTTGTCCTAGTTCCTGCTTCTGCAGAAACAAAATTAGCAGTCATTGTTGTCTGCTCTTGTTGCAGGTGAGGATGATAAAATAATTCTTGGCAGCTAACAAAGCCGGAGTTATTTCCACAAAATTTGAATAATTTCTTTTACTTTTTTTTTTTGCCCAGGTAGTGATTATTAGTTTCCTTCAAGGTGGAATTCATTGGAGATGCACTTTCATCATCAGAGAATGCTTTCTAAAACTTTAAATATTTCACAGCTTTCCCAGAGCAGGAGGAATAAAACTTATCTGATCCTCCCAGGGGAACATTTTCTAGTCCTTGTAGCCTGATCAAATAAAAAAACATTTCTAAACAGCTTGCCAGCATTCCAGAAGAGAATTAATTTGATGTTTGTATGATTTGTCAACACACACACACACACACACACACAGTCTTGCTTAAATCTCTCCACATTTAATAAATGATCACGTGATCTCCTGAGTTCTTATGTTTTGTTAGGATATTCAGTAATTTTTTTTCAGTTTCAAACTCTATTCTAAGATAAAGGAAAATCTCTGGAACTAAACTACTTGCTGAAGAAGCAAGAAACAGAAACAGCTGAATCATTGGCCCAAGAGGTTTTTCTTGACTATAGTGCTGTCTAAGTAAGGCTTGGTGCTGATGTCCTTGGAGACCCCAAATACTTTCCATGACCATTTTAGACGATGAATGTCTCCCTGTCAGTCAGACGGGTGACAGCCAGTTGGCAGCCAGGACTCTGGTCACTCATGGCCACTTTTTTCCTGGTAGAAAGCATTTTTTTCCCTTTGGAAAACTTTCGTAAACAAGTAAGAATCCCTCCCACTGTCAGCACCTCCTTCCTTTCCCTTCCATGCTCAGCAATACCTCCCAACCCCCTGCTTCCCACTGCCACTGTCTTGAGCTGGCCCAGGGGCAGGGAGAGATCCAGAGCCACTCCTGTTCTGCTCCAGCCAGACTATGCAGGGATCTGGGCTCAGCTGGGCACAAAGGTCATGGCAGGAGGGTTCCTCTTCCCAGCCCGTTTATCACAGGTGTTCCTCACCAGCCTGGGAGCAGGTACAGGGAAAGGGGAACTTCCCTGCTGCTGCCACTGTCCCCAGACAAAGCTGGCTCTCTATACAGCCCCCTTGCAACCCAGCTGGAGTGTGGTAGTGGCCAAGACAGCAACAGTGATGAGGGGTTCTCCCCTTTTTGCACAGAGGCATAAGTAAAGAGAATGATGGGGGTGGGGGAAGAGAGAAAGTGCTGCTGAGTTTGGAGAGGAAGAGAGGGGATGCCAAATGTGGGGTGAATAATTCTTACCTGTTTCAGGGGCTTAAAAGAAGTCCCTGGCTGTTGTTCCCACAATGTGGTTTGCCCACCTAGCTGAAGCAGAGAAACTGGGAGTGGAGGGTGCAGCCACCCCTGCTGTGCTTGTCACTGCTCCTGCACCTCTGTTTTTAAAATCCTGGATCCACCTTTGGAACTGAATGTGTTGTCACCTTTGTGACTTTCCATTATTTGAGCCTGTCCAACAGAGGTAGCTCAGGCTTGCTTATATCCTGCCAGTGTGCCTCAAACCTGACCTGACACCAGTACTGGGGGATGAGGGAAGAGGGAAATCTCTGAACCTATTCACCCCGGGGGCTCCTCACTCAGATAGTGAAGCAGTCATGTAGTGCCAGTAGGGATAGTAGTTTGCTTCCCAGGATGAATTATTCCTGCCCACCCCCCACCGGTGAATGATGGTCAGGTGACAACTGTTGGATTGTTTCATCCCTTTGTAAATGGTCTTTGAGCTCTCCAACACAGCATCAGGGCTTGGTCCTGCTCCCAAAAGAGTCCATAGCAACACTTCAGTAGGTGCAGGAATGGACCCTCAGTAGTGCATGAACCACAGCAGTCCCTTTTTGAAAATGTTTATTCCAGGTGGTGAAGAGAGAGCTGGAGAAGACGCTCGTTATTGAAGATGATGTGCGCTTTGAGCACCAGTTTAAGAGGAAGCTCATGAAACTGATGGATGATATTGAACGAGCGCAGCTAGACTGGGAGCTCATGTAAGTGACATTTGTTCTGAGAGCTTTCACTGCTGTCGACCAAATGGGAATTCTCCCTCTGCATCCCCTTTCCAATCCTGCACATATTGAGTATTTTAATAATGCAAACGTAGCAGACCTCAGATCATAATTATAATTAAAAAAGGCTGCCTGTAGCTTACTGGAAAAGCACACTGTAGGCATAAGTTTTCAGTGAGCAAACGGTTCATCTTCAAAGGCGCTTGTGTGGATAAAGCTTTGATAAAACAAAGCACATGGCAGGTACTGCCCTCTTTAATGAAGAGCTGCATCCAGTGATATAGGAAGGAGTTGAGCTCCCATTGAAGCATTCCCCCTTTGGCCTAAGCTAATGCCCATTTATTACAGGAATACATGTGCTCACTATAAGGCTGGGAGAAGAACAGAGGGTTTGAATCCTTTTGTTTAGTCATATAAGAAAAATCTGATTCCAAAAGAGCATCAAAGGGAACCCTGCAAGCTCGCCAGCAAATGTACTTTGCCAGAGACCTGTTCCAGCCTGAGTTCATTGCCAGTGATGTTCAGCACTAGTGTGCAATCTCCAAGAGGCTCTGCATTAGGTCATTTAAAGAAGCAGCTGAAGATCTTGCAGATATGTTCCTCTCTCAGGACGTTTTTTTATCAAAGTCACTGAATTCAGTATTCTCCATCACCCTAGACACACATCCATACCTGAGTCCAGTACTTCTTGCGTACCAAAGACAAGAGATTTGTTTTCAGATAAGACATCTCTGTATTGTGCCCCAACCTTTTGAC